TGGGATACATCAAAGAGAAATAATAAGGTGCTTTCTTGAAGTGCAAGAGGGAAGTTCTCAAGAAAGAAGAGGTAATGGTATGTTGAAGTTGCCGAGATCACAGTAAGAGTGACCCACAGTACACCTAGGGTGGGTGCTCTCTGTAGCTTCCTGCACCCACTGGGCATCCAGGAATGTTTCCCCTCTGGATCTGGTTGGGGACTGCTGTGACATGATTTGTACCCGCATTTCCAGTGGTGGAGGTTATCCCCGGGGCCACCTTGACCTTGTAGTATCCTTGCCAGCCCAGTGAGTGTTTGAGGAGGGTGCAGTGGATGAGCATGGGGGCTGATGGAAAGGGGAAGTGGCCTCACCCTCCAGGAGAGGTGCGAGTTCATGGAGGGTCAGGGAGCAGCAAGAAGGGCAGGAAGAGGAGGGGTCCCTGGGTTCAGGAGGTCGGCAAGGCTGAAGCCTTTTCTGGGTGCTTTTCGGGGCACTGTCTCAGGCCTCTTGTTCCCTTTTTCTTGTACGTAAAGGGCTGTACCATGAACCCTGAAGGATGCACGGCCCAGCCTCACTTGCCTCTGAGTGACGAGGTTGGGCTTTGGGTGTGGCTGGCCATGCCTGTGGCCTGTTTGCCAGAAGCTCTGTGTGACGCCTTGGCTCCTCTGCGTGGAGGAGGGCTTTTGGGAACGCGTTGGAGCCTGAGGGCCTTGCCCCCTAAGTGGATTAATCCTCTGGTGGCTCACAATTGGAATGTAGTGGACTTCAGGAGGACTGCACTCATGTGGCCTGTCCCACAGGGCAGTCAGACCTCTTACTTGGTGGCCAGGGCATCCTAGAGACTAAGGTGAGGCTGCCAGGCCTTAGCGTCCCTACCACCTGTCTTCTGGCAGCTCTGTGTCTTATTGGTCACATGTCCATCTCTAGCCCAATCCCCGTGAGGAGGAGGCTGAGCCTCGTGGCTAGGCTGTGTGTGGTCCTGCCCTCTCTTCCTAGTTGCTCCCCGATGGGGTGCCCAGTGGAGACCTGCAGGATCCTGTTGTTTTTAGTTTGACCCTGAGGCTAGGAGTTCATAATCTCAGCCTCTGCAGGGTCCTGCTTTATTAATTTATTTCATCCCCGCTGTCTCCCCCATTGGACAGGTGTCTGTTTCTGCCCACTGTGCAGCCATTCGACTGTGCTGTATAATTTATCTCTTATCTTGGGGGAATGCTTGTGTTTAAAAAATACTTTTTTTTGATACTTGGGATTGATTGATAGTTGGGGCCTTTGCATTGAGCTGCACTCCTCATCCTTTTTTTAACTTTTCATTTTGAGATAGGGTCTTAGTGAGTTGCTAAGTTGCTCGGGGTGGGCTGAAACTTGGTGACCTTCCTGCCTCAGCCTTCCAGAGCATTAGGTTGCAGGCGTGCGCCACCAGGCCCTTCTGGATATGTTCATGTTCCCATAAGCAGCACTGGGACTGTGTTGTTTTCAGTCTTTCCTACTTGGAGTGTGTATGTGTTGGGGGAAGGTACGTGGGGCATGACACTTCAGTGGGTCTGAGGAGTCAGAGGCCTGCATCTCTGTGTGACTGCACTGACCATGTGAGTGCTGTCACCTGCAGTGTGTACCACACCAGTGTCCCAAGGGCCTGCTGGTGCCTGGTCCTGACTGAGCTGAGGGGTGGGGACCTCTCCATTGTGTGGCTGTAGAGCCAAGGCTCAGAGAGGGCCAGGGCCTCGTCTGGGATATATAGCAAGTGAGAGACAGTGGTCAGGCTCAGGGCCTGGTGTCTTTCTTGGGCATGGGGTGGGGATGGCAGGAGGCCTCAGACCTGGCATCACCTGGGTGTGGCCATGGAGGGATGACCACAGGCCCAGATGAGCAGAGCCAGGGGCCAGACTTAGAGGGACAGAAAGGGAGTGAGCAACCTCACCCTCCCCTTCCTTGTCCTCTCTGCCTGCCCACCACTTACGCCTTGCACGCCTCCACCTGCACTCTTACCCGTCTGTGGGCTCCTGGGCATGTGTGGTGGCCCTCACTCCACCAGGAGCCTCTCTCCATCTGCTGTCACTCATTATGTCACTCCTTCGGCTCCAGCCACAGTGGCCCCCGCTGCTCTGCACCTGGCTTCCTCTGGTCCTGCTCTATGCCCTTTGTGCTGGCCCAACGCACTCTGCGCCCAGCTGGAATGTTCAGACTCACCCCCGCCCCCACCCCCAAGCCTTCCTGCCCATGCTGGCCGACACGGCTCTCCAGTACTTTCCTCTCTTCCTTCCTTTGTTTATTTCTTCCCTGTGCTCATTCGTGCCTGACACAGATTTGTGTGTGCACTGATTATGTCCCCCACCCCGGATTATCAGCCGTGGAGGGCAGCCAGGAGTCTGCCTTACTGGCTCAGAAACCCTGGTGTCTGTAGGCCCTAGGTTGCTGCCGGTGCTCCCTTGCCACTGCTGGGGGTGGTGACACCGGCTGTCACTCTTTCAGTGTCCCCAGGGCTCTATCCTGCACCCCGGGTACCCACTGGGACTTCCTTCAGAAACCACAGTGGCAGTGTTTGCCATTTCACCCTCTTGCCCAAATCTTTTAAAAAGCTACTTTTTAAAGTTTGAGCGTCTGGGATATAGCTCAGTGGCACAGTGCCTGTCTGGCAAGTTTGAAGCGCTGAGTTCAATTCCTGGTACCAAAAAATGTAAGTAAACTTTGATATGCCCTTTCCTTGTGTTTTCTAAAAAATTGATGGCTTTAGCAAGGGAACTACCAGCATTAGTACTGCCTGTGGTGCGTGCAGAGGGAGCCCTTGTGTGTGATTTTGGGGGAACCGGGGTGGGGCCTGGTCCCCAGGTCAACGTGGGCTGTGGGACCTATGACTTTTCCAAGGGTAAAGTGTGGGGAGGTCAGGGATGAGAAGGCATTTGAGCGGTTTATGGGGGAGGCTTAGGGGCTAGAGAAACAGTGTGCTCCAAGGGTCTAGTAGAGAGCTCGGCTAGGGTGGTTTCCCAGGCCCTGAGTGCTGGGCACAGGCAGATCCCGAGGTGATGGTGAGATGGGTGCTGTGTAGCCCCATAAGACAGGACCACCTGTTCCTGGTCTCCTTTGCATCCCAGGATAGGGAGGTAGAGAGTTGGCTGTGGATGTTCCAGGGCAGATGGGAGTGAGGCTGGTGCTGGGGCAGCTCTATGGGCTAGGCTGTGGCATAGAGTGGGACAGCTGACAAGGTGAGCAGGCTGTGTTGGAGTGTCAGGGCAGCAGGTGTCCAGGATGTCTTTGCTGGTGCTGGGGAAGGCGGGCAGGAGTATTCCGGGTGCTAAGTTTACAGTGCTGGGCAGGGAGGGCCCATGAGAATGGTCCTGCGCCCTCCTATGCCCTGTATCTCCAGCTGGGGATGCGGTTGGTGGTGGTGGTGGCGGGGAGGCTGTGCTGGAGCCCAGGGAACAGCTTGCTCCTACCCAGACCCCTGACCATGTTCCCAGCCTGAAGCCATGTGCGAGGAATTGAGCCTGTTTTGGAGGAGGGTGATTGCTTTAGTGATCCTGTGTGTACTGGGGTGTGCATGGAACTGGGTGTATAGCATCACCTCTGGGTCTATCCCCCATGGGATGTGCAGCATCTGTGGGTGGAGGGGCATGTCTACAGGGAGGACCAAGGGCTGGGTGGCTCCCTGATCTGTGTGTGTCAGACTCCTGGTGTTGGGACCACCAGAGGGTCTGAGCCAAGCAGGTGCTGCTTGCCTGTAATCCTAGCACTCCACAGGCCAAGGCAGGAGAACTGTAGGCTCCCTGCCAGCCTGGGCTACACAGTGAATTCAAGGCCAGCCTGAATTACAAAGTAAGACACTGCTTCAAAAAACCTAGAGAGGGGGTGGTGAATGAAGGCAGGAGACAAGAAAAGGAATGTTGTGGGACTGTCCTGCTTCAAGGTTGTATATAGTTAGATTTCTGGACTTATGTATAAACATAAGAAGTATATAATTCTTTATGCCTATTTTTAAAATATATTCTAATTTTTAAATGTTTTTTCATCATACTCTGTAGGGATTTAAAGTTCAACATATCAATACTTGATGAAAAATACCTGTTCCATGTTATGCCTAAGATGTTTGATATTCAGACAGA